GCCTTTCCCAAGGACACGACGTCAGGCCCCTGACGGGATTCGAACCCACGACCTTACGGTTGCGAGTCCGAGAGCCTAACCACTAGGCAACTGACGCCATCATATACAGGTAGCCTCTCTCCTATTTGTTAAATTTTCAAGAGAGTGTAAAACCTTAAATTTTTCAAGTAACTCATTAGAAAGACAATAGGTCCTGAAGTTCTTTGGTCAGAACAAATTATGTGCGTCTTTCAATACAATGTAGAATATTTAAAGTCTTCCAAACTGACATCATCTTCCATATAAATTCAAAAACCTTCAAAGCAGTATAACGTCAGAGACATCCAAATGGACTCAGGGCTTGGTGGCCTTCTCTCAGCGTATTAGGTTTTTCTTGCTTTACCCGAAAGCACACCTGAATAAGGAATTTTTCACATTCAAAATGATGTAGTTTTGAACATGCATTAAATCAAACTTACAGATGCAACCACAAAATTTTTCTGCAATGATGGTTGCATGTAAAAAATAAACCCATCCCCCCCCCCCCCAAAGTGAAACTTGAAGTGTGTGACAAATACCTCAAATTCTGACCACCCTCTTCACAGACATGGAGAAGTCTCTCTGGCAGACTCGTCACAAAGACTTTGAGATGCGCATTCTCCAGGGCTTTCCAAACCTCTGCATCACTGTGCCGCATAAACGGATCCAAGTTCATTCTCAGGGTTCCAGAGAACAGCACAGGGTCCTGAGTCATTTGCAAAACGTACACATCCATGAGGACATCGGTTTCAATTCACTTTTAGATTTAAAAAAAGTTTTATTAAGAGTTTTACGGCATTTGCAATACAAATAAGTCAGATAAGTGCAGAAGATTAGAAGTGTTGCAAGAGAGTAACAAACACAAAAAAGAAGGAAGAGAGTTAAGGACAATAGATGTCTGATAGGAAAGAAGGAGAAAACCACACCAGAGCATCCGCCAACCACACACAGCTGAAGATTAGAGGTGTTACAAGAGAGTAACATTCAAAGAAAACAAAAAGAGGAGATAAAGGATGATTGACACTTGATGGGAAAGGATGAGCGAACTGCACTAGAGCACCCACCAACCACTCACAGTTCACTTTTAGAAAAGCAAAGAAGAATAAAATACACAGTCTAAGTTACTATATAAAAAGAAGGAACTTGATTGGATGATCACTCAGGTATTTTTTCTCAAGTTGTTTGGGACTTTCATTACAGGGTAGGAGGACCTCCCCACGGCAGTGCCACTGACTGACGTGTCTTTAGGCCATTCCCAAAGAGTGGATATTAACATGTTCTTATGCACAGTAGAATTGTAAATGGGCTGATTTATCAATGTCATGCTCATACTGTCGCGGAACAACATAGGGGGAACTGCCGCTTTTTCTTTCCTCATCATTACTATCGTCATCTTTCTTCTACTTCATTTGTATGTTTGTCACTTTCTTGTGAACTGCTATTTCCAGGGTGCCTTGATAGTCGAAACAGACTTTGTGCTGTTGAGGCTAGAGAGGCGTACAGAGTAAGCCTGATTCCCTGTTTGGACTTCTTAGTTGACATCCACCCCTCGGCGCTCATATGACCTGATGCAGTTGCGAGCCCTGTGAAACCTTACTAAAACAAGGGAAGGTGGGACTGAAAACATTGCCATCTATGTTGCCTCAAAAATCTCTGATGAGGAAAAAGAGTTAATAGCCCACTGAGCACCTCTAAGGCACCTTGGCAGCTGAAAGGTGAAGAGCTAGCATGCCCAGATCAGTAGAATGAGATGAATAATAATTTATTTATCTATCTTTAATCTTAGTAAGGTTTTACATCGCTCGCAATTGCAAAAGAGCCCTAAGGGGTAGATGTCAACAGAGAAGTCTAAACGGGGAATCAGTCTTATTCTGCTCGCCTCTCTAGGCTTCAGGTTAAAAAAAAAAATCTGATGAACATTGGGGAAAATAGTTCAGGCTATATGGGGAAACAATAGTTATGTTTCATACCTCACCAAACAGTGGAATCTTACCTGAGGAAGAATGGTGAGACTTGAGCGAACATCATGGAGCCCGAGAGAGCTGATGTCCACTCCGTCTATGATAATGCGGCCTTGGAAAGCTTCCAGCACTCGGAAAAGTCCCATAGAGAGAGAGGACTTGCCAGCTCCTGTGCGGCCCACGATCCCAACCTAAAAGAGGCATGGAGAGATTGTTTACTCACAAGCAGATAGTTGATCATTATACTGTTTAGCTCTGCCAGGTCAGGTGATAGAACTTGCTGTCAAGCAGGGATTATACTGTTCATCTATTTATTCATATATTTGTTAATCAATCAGTTAATTAACTTATCTATTTATTTATTTATTTATTATCATTGGTTATACCCCACACCACAAGGAATTTAAATCCTTATTTCTTCTATTTTGCTAAGAAAATTTTCCTCTGCATGGACATTCAGACATTGATGAGCAAACTATTACATTACCGTGGAACATTCATTCCCTTTCAACACTGTAAGGTTAGTTAAGAGGCAGGACGGCCAAACTTTACTTCCGTCTCTGACAGGACTGACCCAAGAAGGTGGAGAGCCTTGAATGCTCCCCAGACAACTCCCAATTTAAAAATACCTCAGTGTGGATTCAAACTAAAGTCATCCAACAATAGCCCGACAAAATACCAACTGAGTTAAAGGGTATGCCTGCTGAACAAGTTAATTTGATGAAATGTCTCCTAAGACAGAAGTACTGGCAGTACTTAAACATATTAATCCAAACAAATCTTGTAAAAAAAACAACACCTATGCATGAATGTGTCATGTTTTCCTTGATAATATTCAGCGCCCTAGGTCATGCCATGCAAGGCAGAATTTGTGCTTGTAAATGACTGTGCCAGTGAGAGTTGATCGACTTGATCAGCTGTAACAAAGATGCCTTTCCGCAAACAATGATTTCAAAATATGCCCAGTTTCCCCAACCGATACGTGAGGAGAAGTGAAAAAAGGAACGATTGAAAACCCTCAGGCAGTCAAGATTTAGTTTCGAAAGAGTCAAAAAATGCATCTGTTCAAATAAAAATGTCAGGTGTAATCAGTAACACCATTTTTCAAACTGTAGAGACTTGACAGAACATCGGTTGTGAACTAAGTACAGATAAATCAACGTTTATTTTACAAGCGCCTTATAGACACATGTGCACATTAACAATAAAACAACATAAGTTTAACTCTTTTTATCCGGGCTACGAGTATACTCGTAACGAGGACCAGTCTGGGCTACGAGTATTCTCGGAACAGCGATACGGTCACGTCAAAGAAGCTAGTTCTGCTTTTAATTACCGAAATACGCAAATACGGCGATGCTAGCTCTGTCTGAATATTTTAATTTTCTAATGAACAGTGGTTTCTTTGTTTTTGATGGGAGTAGAAGCTTGAAAGATGTCTTGAAAACGAACATTCACGACCGACGAAGTACTTTTTGAAGTGGCGCTGGGTTGTGAGGGGGAATGATACTTCTTTGATGAAAGTGACTCTGAAATAAGTGCCGTAAATTCCGTTGTGGATGATAAGAAACAGGACTTAGACTCATCTAATAGCGATTCAGATCATGGTGAAGGGGTCAGTACTAGAATTCGTGCTCGATGGGTAGGGCTAGATCTAGATCTATAAAATCCAATGGGACGTCGTGGGCGCGGCAATCAGGGTCAAGTTCGAGGATGGAATACACCTCAAAATCTACATTGTGCTATTGATGTATTTCCTAACCACATACATTTACAAAAACTACATTCAATTTCTAATGTAACTGCCAAATTTCCTTAAAACTTTAGAGTAAATGTAAGAAATATATACTTTGAACTATATGCACTGACTTCCGACTCCAACGGCGCGGCGACCCCAGGACTGGTACTGAGTCTGTGGGGGTACGGCTAGGATAAAAAGAGTTAACTGGACTACTTTGCATGCAGGTGTCGTGCAACTAAGTCGCGACAAAACTGTAAAAAAAAAAAAAAAAATTCAACTCTCCAAGGGATTGAACAAGAAAGGGGAGAGAACACAAACCTTTTCCCCGCCTTCAACTTTAAACGTGAGATTCCTGAGCACGAGGTCGAGATGAGGCCTGTACTTGGTGCTGTACCCGTCAAACTCGATACGTCCCGACGGAGGCCATCCTTCTTGAGGTCGTCGGTGTGGCAGAATCCAGTCTGGCTGTCGAAGGGACGGCGTTTAATTCATAGATTTTTTTAAAGAGACAGTCGAACCTGTTCTAACAGCCACCCGTTCAAGACAATTATCAGTACAAACAACCACTTCCCACCTTGTATTTCTTTAAAATTAGAGCGACACTGTTCAAATTCAAGAAATCCACCTGTCTAAGACAACCATTTTTCTCCACGACAATGGGTTGCCGTCTTGGACTATGTTGACAGTGGGGGCTCTCCTGGCCTAGAGGTTAAGGTGTTGGCCTCTCATTCAAAGGTCCCGGGTTCGAATCCAGGTAGCGACCGAAAAATTTTCTTCTCTAAAATTGTCTCCATTCACCTCATTTCCTGCTCTCTAGCAATGTTCTGTCGTCTGCTTTCGTCTCCTCTTTCTGCCCCCACCCCCTCATCTCCGTTGCCCCCTCCTCTGGGCTCGTAACTCTTTCTGCAGCCTTTCTACTGCTACTCCTTGGCTCCTCCTTACTGCTGTCTTTCAGCCACACCTCTGATCTTCGGTAGGAAAGATCTACACCTAGCCTTCTCGGACAAGGGCGAAAAATCTCGGAGGGCCCGTGAGCAAGTTGCGAACATTAAAGATCCCAAGGGGGTCTATAATCGATAAGAGTAGGATTAGGCTGCCACCCTTGCAAAATCCAAAATTTCCTACCAACTGAAAAAGTATAATGTGTCCCGCGCGCTCATATAACCTTATGCATTTGCGAGCGCCATAAAACACTTACCAAAATTTTTTTAAATTTTGACGGTAAATGCTTGGGCAAAAAAACCCTTTTAACTTCCTATGAAATCTTGAGCTGATGTTACCAATTCATATCCTTTACAGCACAGTCTATTACATGACAATGTACATTTCAATACATTTCGATTACAGTGATACTACTAATTTTTTCTCCTCTTTAACTATCTATGTCCCCCCCAAATTGACCCACCTCTTCGTGGTGGGGGGGATTAGTACTCTTCGAATAGGAAAAGAAAAAGAGGAAGCTAATGGGTCAAGGGGTGGCCCAAAAAAGAGACATATTACTTTACTATGTTTCTTACTCTTTCTATTTAGTGCTTTTATTGTTTTTATTGTTTTACTTTATTACATTTATTAACTTTTCTTTTCTCCTCTCTCCATCGACAACCTTTCTTTGACCTGGAGTTGGGACGGGTATTGGTGGGGTGGAAAGCAGAGGTTCATTGTCAGCACTGTACTGGATGTGACTTTACGTAGGGAATACCCAGCTTCATACATGTATTAAGCATGCACTTATTGGAGAGCCCTATGACTGCAGAGAAGGTGCAGAGACCATTTGCTTCTTGCTTGTTGACAACATTAACCCTCTGGGATCTGCCATGCCTTTCCCTGCCCCCATCTCTCGGATGAGAGGACTTGGTTGCTCTGGGAGGGGGGGGGGGGGGGGGGGAATCTAGCTTCCAATTGGTATTATTACTACTATTAGAATTATTATTATTATATTATAATTTTTGTATTTCAGCAACACACAGCAACTATGCTTTTAATAGCGTCTTTCTCTTCTTGATCTCCTCAAACAACTCCCCAATATAATACAACAGACACCAACATACCCATTCATTTTTCTTACAATCTCTCTGTGATGGAGTTGGGTTTTTGTTTGTGGCATTGCACCTACAGCCACTGCTTTATCTCCTACCCCGAGATGGAAGGAAAAATCACAGAACCACCAGTTTTAGATGCTATTCACTATATATGTCTTATCCTCTTTAACTATCTATTTCTCATCTTTCCATTCCTTAAGTAACAAAACATTACTTTCAGGAGTGTCATCAGCTACCAACTTTATTAGGGTCTCAAAAGATACACATCAGAGCAAATCACAATTATAACCCTTAAAATTTTTCAATTCACCATTTCTTGACTACCATAATTCTAAATCTCTTTAGTCCACACATTATGACAATCAAGGTGAAAAGATTTTTAATACAAAGGTTGCTTATGAGAATCTAGAGGTCTAAAAAACGTGAACATGGAAGAATTTTAACACATCAAAAAGTACACACAAAAATTTCAATAGCAGCTAGTTAATTGAAAATTTTCATCAAAATCCAGAAAAAACAAAACAAACTTGGTGTCTGCTCTAAGGTGTGTGCACCTTTCCTACAGCTTCAATTTCCCTCAAATTTTCTGCACATTGCTAGGCTCACCTCTTGTGGCAGATTGGAATACTCCACAATACGCTCCACACTCACAAAGTTCGACTCAAGCAATGTACCGTTAAGTACAATCATGTTGAGAGCGCCAGTAATCTGTAGGAAAAAAAACAGTGAATGGAAAAGAGGGTGGGGGGAAAAATCACACTTGTAGAGAAATTTAAACTCATTACATATTCTTGATCATAAAAAAATAGTATTTTAAATCAGAACATTTTTAACAACAATTTCAAACATGCGAGGGAGCCAAAAGTATTGAAGATGTATAAATTACACTTACAGTCACCCAATAATATCAGCTCCAGTTTTGGTAAGTAGAAAAAGAAACCCCAAAACAATCTTGTCCCAAATTACCTGAAGAGCATAGGTTATGGCTAGCCCAACAGTCCCGCCAGAGACATCACCAATAAGGATTGCAAAGAGCGCGGCAGAAAGCACAACAATACTGCCCAGCATTTCTAACCTCAGTCTCAGCCACCTAGACAAAAGAAGTGAAATGTGGTAGGTGAAAGATCTATATCTTCTACAAGGATTTCAGGGGGTTCAAAACTATATATATGTATGTATGTATGTGTGAAAGAGAGAGAGGGAGGGGATGTGTGTGTGAGAGAGAGAGAGAGAGAGAGAGAGAGAGAGAGAGAGGGAGAGAGAGAGAGAGAGAGAGAGAGAGAGAGAGAGAGGGAGAGAGAGAGAGAGAGAGAGAGAGAGAGAGAGAGAGAGAGAGAGAGAGAAAGAGAGAGAGAGAGAGAGAGAGAGAGAGAGAGAGAGAGAGAGAGAGAGAGAGAGAGAGAGAGAGAGAGAAAGAAAGATAGAAACAACCTACCCCAATAATGATCTAAATTCTGGGGACGAAGGCGGGACGGTGCAAAACACACAATCCCACGAAACGGAGTCTGAACAAATCATCTAGCCATGAAAAAATCTTCCCAATTGCCTCCCTCCTCCCACCCTTGTTTACCTGCAGAACCACATAGAGCAGAAAGATGGGCACAGCCACAGCCAGAAAAATTGGGGTACTGTAGGAGATGACCACCACAATGGCCATCAGCTGGAAAATGTTGTGCAGCGTGATCCTCACCAGGTGGGGGAACAGAGTGTCGATGATGTCCATGTCTCGGGAAAACCTGTCAGGAGGGAAAAGGAATACAGTCAGCGATATCAGGAAAATCTGTTGAGAGGGTAAAGGAATAGTCAGCGTCATCGGGAAAACCACGGGAAAATCTGCCATGAGGTTTATGGAACACAAGGCTGCCTACCTCAACCTTCCCATTTCAGGTAAATTTAGGGTCAGTTTCAGCTATATTGGCCCAAAATGAGGTAGTACAAAGACAAACAAGGAAAAAAAAAAAGATGATCGCTGCTACTCTTGGGGTTCTTCTTCTTTTGAACCTCACAGACCACTTCTACATCGATTAAAATATTCATCATCATCAATGAAAAAAAAAGGAGATAAAGACTAAACACATGACCATAGTATAGTAACTTCCAGCCCAACTAAATTAACTCAGATAGCACTCAATGCAGATCAAGGATCCCATACATTTATGCCCATAATGCCATGTTTCATATGTAATAATAATATATAAAGATACCCTCCACTCCCTGGCCAACTCACCTGTTGAGAATTCTACCAACAGGTGTTGTGTCAAAGAATGCCATAGCTTGATGAAGTATGTTGGTCAACATGTGGTTGTGAAGATGCCTGGAGGCATGCACAAAGTGCAAAAACACAATCAGGATGAAGGCTCCGTTCCCAAATACTGCAAGATAGAGAAACAAAAAAGGGAAATGTTTTCCAAGATTTAAGGCATTAAAAAGTCTGAATAGGCCATGAATTGTAAATACGCACTTCATGCAAGGAAAAAAACCAACTACTTTTTGTTAACATTTTTCTCTCATATCTAAGCTTTCAGAAGATATAAGATGGCAGAGGGGAGGAAGGTTTGTCTGTTTAGCATATCTTACATGAAATTTTCTAAGAATCTTATTTCAGTCAGTAAGAAGCAGTGTAGCATTAGTTCCTTTGAATCAATTGTTACAATTTTTAATGGGGCAAAAGCCTGCTAGTAAATACTATTCACTGGACAAATGCAAACACATTGAGCAAACTGTACCTTGAAGTCCATTGAGTGCAGAATAGACTCCGAGATAAAAATACGTTTTGGACCTATATGTGTGCATGTGGGAGTTGCTCTCGTTGCGCAGAAAAGGATCGTCCGTCCACTGCGACAACCAGATGCCTGTGCCAACGTTCAGACCTTGGTATGCCACCAGGCACAGAGGAACCAGGGCAGCAGAAACAACTCCAAATGCTCGGATAACTGCCATCAGCACTGCACCTCGGATCTTTAGGAGTTTGGGGAGGGGGGAGATTGGAAGAGGAGAAAAATCAAATTCATGAGGTACCGCTTTTAAAAAAAAGGATCCATTTAAAGGGCAATAACTTGGTCATTTTTTCCACCAATTTCAATGAAACTTTGAGGAAATAGAATTCAGCCACATTACATCTGTCAACAGGAAAACAAAAATCAAACACCAAGTTCGAAAAATGTCATGTAAAAGTGGGTCCTCTTTTTTTAGACATCCTGAATAATTGTTCAAGAAGAATGAGCAGACACAAATACAGTTGGAATTTTCCAAGGTGGCCACCCAATGTCGAGGTGAAAAGTGGTTGTCTTACATAGATGTCTTGGACAGTGTCATTACACATTTTTTGAAAGTGAGGACGGAAGTCGGGAGTGGTTGTTTATACAGGTGCTTGTCTTCAACTGATGCGGACGCGAGAGGTTACTGACACGGACTTCTGAGATATCCTTTACAATGTTCAGCAAGACCTAAATTATAGCTGATGCAGTATCCAAAGGAGACCTTGACCTATGTCAAGATGTCATGGCCAAAAAATTAAGAAGTCACAGCTAAAACAAGCTTAATTTTTATTTTTTATCTGTGAAAAAAACTCAGTGCCAACATTTAGGAAATAGCACAATGATATAATTTAATTACACATAGTTGAAAACTGACAGTCACTTCAAATTTCTTCGCTTCCTTTTCAAAAAAAAAATATCAAGACACTGTCCAAGATGTTCACTTGTCTAAGACAGCCCCTTTTCTCCTCAATAATGGGTCGTTACCTAAAAAATAAGTTCCATCTCTGCCAACATAAGTGAATCAACGGAGAAATTACCTTGCCAGTTTCTGAAGTTTCCTCTTCAATCAGTCTGTCTTGACCTTGTGAAGTAGAGGCAGTCTGCGACTTGTTCTCGCTTTTTCCTCGTGCACTCCCTTCTCCCTCTTTATCTGTCATGGACTTTTCACTTCCAGTCGCTGATGACTGACTGTGATGTGACCTGATCATGGAGGAAACACGCACAAAGAAAGCATTATCAGAGATGCCAATTGGCTACCCCCCAAAAATATTTGTGTGCGCAGGTATTCAAAATTTACAGATTACATTGTGTAATATATATTGTATGAAGACTATTATCAATATTCCCTCCCTGAAATTGGGCAAAATCGAGACAATGCTAGAAATTTGGTTTCCATATTAATCTGGAAAATCAGCGCCTCTAATCAACTACATATGGCAAAATATAGAGTTGGTAGTCCAGTGAATAGACTGACGTACTTACACTATTAAGATCACCCTACAGATTTTGCTCTAAGCCCAAAATGGTGTATTTTTTAAACAAACTTTACACAAGATTTCCTCACTTCACTCAGGTGAGAATGGAACAGCTGGTTGAGACAGTGAAAGATCTTGTCAGCATGTTAGGTGTTCGAGTGCTTCTTAAATAAATGGCAGCTTGCGCTGGATGTTTTCCAGGAAATTGAGAACGTGTCAGAATGTTAAAGGCTCTGTTGGGGTAATAACAAAATCTTAATCACCTATTGTCTACTTTCCTGTAAGGACATGTGCTATATAAATAGCCTGTTATTATTATCATTGAGTCTCAAAGCTACCAAAATATGCATTACAAGATAAATATTCCAAAAGGTAGCTTTTATTTAAATCTTCGGAGCGAATCACAAAATAAAGCTTCTGGCAACAGCACAGCTCTGCCTTCTGGTGCAGGTTAAGTTATCATAAACTTTTAAACTGTCACCACTCTCCAGCAATCTCTTCACAACAAAGATATGTGAAGCATGCTGACAAAAATGGGTTACTTCTCGGATTCAAGCCTTTAGGAAATAGATACATCACACTTATAGGTGAAGTTTTTACAATTTATAAGTATGAAATAATAAAAGACAGGTTCTAGTTAAAGAAAATGGCATCAAATAAAAAAGTTACAAATTTGACCCTAATGTTGATTTTTGGCCAATATCTCCATTTGTGGATTGCGAGAAGTAACTCATTTTGTCAGCACGCCTCACATACAACAAAGGATAAATACAAAGACAAAAGAAATCGGTATACCTAGTTCTGAGCAGTTTTTTTTTGGTATCGTCCGGCAGTTCTTCCGATATAACAGTGCCCACCTGTGCAATGATCTGATCTGTGAGTTTTCCAACTGTGGGGGAGAAAAACAAAAACAGAAAAACATTTTGAAAACAAAATTTATAAGTGGGATAAAATATGTGAAATGTCAATAGCTCTTTCACAGTATTCAAAATTGCCTATGACAGTCATCGAGTAGAAAAGTTGTTGTTTTAGACAAGAAGTCATCTTGGATAGTGCCATTAACCCTTTCAGCCCCATGCACGTATATTTTCAGCAGCACTTGTACCTCCCACCATCCCAAGAGGGTATATTCTCAGTTTCCGGGGTACCAGATTTGCGCTTTTTTCAAAATTAGCAAACCTAATTAAACTTAAATTTTCAGAAAATTTTTTAATGTACCTTTAAACATATGTTATTATCTAAGTTTCATAACAAAGATGCTGCGTTACTTTTTAGTAAGTCTGCCTCTTTTTCTGAAATACTGCTGTATTGGCTGGGACATAAAAAGGCTGGGGCTGGAAGGGTTAAAATGTAGAAAAGATGCAAGGGGGTAGCAGGCAGAGGTCGTTTGCACAGGTGATTATCTCCGGATAGTAGCTGTTCTAGCAGGTTCGACAGAAATATTTTAGTGCACAATATCTCAGGAATTCTTCATCATTTTAAAAAGAGAATATTGCCGAAATGATCTGATGACTATCCATTATGAGTACAAGTATTTTGTTTACGCATTTCATGTCGCGATGCTCACATTCTTCGCAAAGGTTTCTCAGGCACAATCTTTTAATCAATTTTCACTTTCTTTTGGAAGGCCATTCTTTCCCACCTCCTCTCACTCTCCTCTCCCGCCCTTCCCTACTTCCAGAGCCCATTTGCTGCGGCAATGAAGCAAAATGAGTGAAAAAAAATGCTTAATACAAGGCAAGCAGACATAAAAGGAAACTATTTGGGATGAGAGAGTTTTTCCAAGATCACTACCTTCTTCATCATTGATTTCATCATCTGCATGCTCCACCAAGTAAGTCTTCACAAATTCTGCAAACGGCCCGTCGTGATTCATGAGCTGTTGGTAACTGCCAGACTCGGTGATCCGCCCCTGATCCATGACTATGATATGGTCAGTTAGGGGGAGCCAGTGTATGCCATGAGTGACAAGTATTCTGGTCTGAGGAAAGCATGGAGAAAATTGAATAGTTCTTTTTCAACTGCTTGCTGGCACAACTTAGAAGAGTCAACATTAAACATTTAAGGTGTAAATTTGCACCAGAGAAGTACGCAGGGAAAGAATGTTCCCTAAGTGATGAAGAAATCTGAAAGAAGGTCATAAAACGCGTCAGAATCATGAGTAATGCAAGTAAAGTCCAGGTCATCTGACGTCTGAACGAAAGGATTTCAGACTAGAATTAAAACAATTTGATGACACACATACATATAAAAGCAAAGTGTCTTGAAGAGGTGACAGTAGAAAACAAAGCAAAGAAAAGGAAATGCCTAATTTAACCTAGAAGACACAATTTCTCAGAGCATTGCCTAAACCTTAGCAGAAGTTTTTCATTGTTAAGTCCATAAAAAAGGTCAAGTCCCCTAAATCGTTAGTTTTAAATGGCAAGATTTCAATACACTGTGCGACATTTAATTATCCCAACGATAACTCAACACGGCCATCACTGGTTACCTCCAAAAACAATAAAAGTTGTAATATTACCTCCAGATGTACATGCACTAACCTTTTTGCCTAGAAGTCCGTTTGGTCCCAAAACTTGCTCAAAAATGTGTCTACCCACATGTGCGTCTACGGCGCTGAGTGGGTCATCCAGGAGATAGAGGTCAGCGTCGCTGTACGCGGCGCGTGCCAGACTGACACGCTGTTTCTGACCACCAGACAAGTTGATGCCCTGTGGGTGCACCATTCCACATAATGGGGTTATGCATGGTTTAGTTTTAGTAAGAGTTTTACAGCACTTGCAACACAAATACTTTAAGTGCCGAAGATTAGAGGGGTTATGAGAGAGTAATATACTTTTGTTTTGTTCGTTTTAGTAGAGCTTTTACCTTGCTCGCAACTGCATAAGGTCATATGAGTGCAAAGGGGTGGATGTCAACTGAGAAGTCCTTACAGGGAATCAGCCTTACTCTGCTCATCTCTCTAGCTTCAACAGCACAAAGTCTGCTTCGACTATCAAGGCACCCCGGAAATAGCGGGTCACAAGAGTGTGACAAACATACAAAAGAAGTAGAGGAAAATGACGATAGTAAGGATTAGGAAAGAAAAAGCAGCAGTTCCCTATTGTAGTTCAGGCACAGTTATGAGCATGATGTTGGATCAGCCCATTTACAATTCTACTGTGCATTAGAACGAGAAATGTCCCCCCTTTGAGAATGGGCTAAAGACACTTCAGTCAGTAGCATCGCTCCAGGGGGTGGAGTAATATACAACTAATGGAGGAGGAGAGATAAGGACAATAGATGTTTGATAGGAAAGAAGGAGCACACCACACCTGAGCACCCATCAATCACCCATGTTAAGCATGTGCATTTGAGTAAAGAGTGGCACAGGAACACTAACAGCCGTCAGGTACAGCACAGAAAAAGAAAAAGCAGAAGAGACAGAAGAACGAAGAGACAGTAAAAACAGTTGGACCTGCCAGTGGTGCCCTCCAACCAACCACACACACAATGACAGCATGTACAAAGTGCACCAAGGTGGCACATCGTGGAGGAAAAATTTACTTAATATAACAACAAACTACACAAACAACACATTTAAGTGTCTTGCCTCATTTAGGTGTTAGGGGAAATGAAAAAGCCCACAGACTGGCAGGTGAGGCCACCTCAGTTGACAACACGGTTCTACCAGATAGGGTTGAGATCCTGAAATGTCTCTCTCGCCAGCTGATTGAGGAGGAAGATAGGGAGGCAGAGGCCAGTACTGCCGTGGAGAGGACGATATTTTGGGAATGCAAAAAGGAAGCGGAAAATCTGGCATCCCTGCAGGAAAGAACAGAAGAACGTTCAACCAGATGTGCACTGGCACAGAGATGCCAACCACAGAAAACCGTAATGAGTATTGGGAAATTTGAAAATATGTATTTTCAGGGGAAAATGTGTATTCTCCACGACCGACCGACCTACAGGTTAAATGTTCAGGGTGTCCAGCAATTTTTCCTGAAAAAAATTTACTAGCTCACCAGCTCGAAAAAGGAGCACACACGCGTACAATAAACGTGTATCCAGTCAACAACATGTCAGTGTTCAGTGTCGTACTGGGGTCTTGTTTGACTTAAGTATTTCAGTCTTTTATAATAATATTTTCCTCTCATTATTATTATAAAAATTGAATCCTGTTTTGAGCATTCGGAAGGGCCTAGAACAAGAATTTCGACTATCAAGAACCAGTCTGGGTGTCATGATTCATATTATGAACTGACAGACTAAAATTATTGCTCAAACTCAGAGAAGAGCAATAACTTGAATGGCTAAAGTAGACCCATGCACTGTGAGAGTTGTAACAACTGTGGGAGGACAAGATGCAGTGACACTGAAAATCTGCCCGTCTTGAGTAGAAAGCTACAACATACACTGTAGGTATAATTTACTATCACCCATCAAATGGCACGCGAACATTTTATTTCAATTACACAGACTTGCAAAGTATGAAGGGTCCCGATTCCGCACACGGCCTGCACCAACGCGCGCTTTACAGAGAGCTCTAATCAAAATTCTTCACACCCCCCCCCCCCCAGTGTATTTTTTAAAAATCAATAATCCCCTCCCGTAGTCCTATACTTGGCAACGCCGTTACTCCCATCAAACGCAGTCTTTGCTCACACGATGCCGCATTTATATGTGATGCGAATGCACGCAGGTTCATTGACCGGTCACGATGGCGAGCCCGACAATCTAAAAATCGGACGACGCTTGTATTTTCTTATCTTTTTTTCCTACAAGTGACAGCACAGAGACAGTTCGAGAAATTTTATTTGCACGGCAACACAGCACGGTTTACACTGCATAACCTGCATGTCACAAATAAGTTGCATTATTAGTCTACCGCTGGCAAATTTCTCGGTGGTAACGAAAGCGAAAGTACATCTAGGTTTTCCCGATCAAGCCTCGGTGTCACATACACTTCTGTCTGCCGCCATAGCTGCCTGTTCGCGTGATAGTGAAATGTACTCTCGGAGGAGGAAAAGCTAAACGAATATAATATCACAATCCCGACAGGCAAAAATGAACTTACTGACCTTATCTGACTTGGTTTTCAAATATTCCAGTTCCGCGATACTGATACAATTTTCACAAAAGAGGGGACTTGAGATAATTAGGTTTACTCGCCCAAACTGGATCTCGTATTTTTCGCATTCCAGGATACGTATTTTTTCATGAAAAGTCGTATTCGCGTATTTTTGGCAAAAAATCGTACTAAAATACGTAAAATCGAACTGGTTGGCATCTCTGCTGGCACAATCAGTGGAAAGACCCTCGGCAACATTTTGGAGAGAGCAACGGAGCATCAATGGACATGTCCGGGGTGCAGGGATGTTGCTTCCTGAAACAATGAACAATGACTGAACTTCCTTACCTTCTCACCGATTTCTGTCATTTCACCAGCAGGAAGGAGCTCAATATCCGGCCTCAGAGCACAAGCATCAACGATCTGGTAGTAGCGGTCGGTGGTCATGGCCTTCTCAAAAAGAATGTTGTCTCTCAGGGTCATGTTCTGGATCCATGCTTGTTGAGCCACATACGCTACAGAACCCTAACAAACAAATACAGGACTTACATTCATCTCAGATATATGAAAAACAATCATCTCTTCCACATATTTTTAAAAAATTTTGCATGGTGGCACTGTGGCGAGCCAGACAAACTGGCCTCACAAGCCGGTTCTTGTCCGTGGGCCAAAGTTTGGTGACCCCTGTCATAAACAAGAGAAGTCAAAGTGATTTAGCTCACACAAACCTTTCACACACTTTTCTACATTCTATAAATTCTGCTGGAGAAGATCTCTCCAATTTACCTAGGAGCTTTGTTCTCATTATTATTCATAACTCCAGTTTTGACAGTTCATAATTTTTCTTAAGTTTTAGTAAGAGTTTTACGGCACTTGCAACACAATAAGATCATATGTGCCGAAGATTAGAGGTGTTACAAGAGAGTAACATACAAAAAAAAAAGGAGGAGAGATAAGGATGATAAATGCGGGATAGCAAAGAAGGAGCAAACCACACCAGAGCACCCGCCAACCACCCATCATAATTTTCCTTCACCATCGGAAGTCCACGAAGACCAACACAAGAAAAGAGAGAATACATTTCTTTCCGATATAAATTGGACATCTGTACTCAAAACCTCTAAAGCATATATAAAATATATCTTTTAATGAACCGGTTGGTGTGAACAATTCACAGAAAACATTTGTATTACAAAATGGTTAGCGGCTATGCATGTTTTTTAGTTTTATTAAGAGTTTTACAGCACTTGCAACACAATAAGGTCATATAAGTGCAGAAGATTAGAGGTGTTACAAGAGAGTAACAAAAACAAGAACAAAAGAAGGAGGGGAGATAAAGACGATAGACGTTTGGTAGGAAAGAAGAAGCAAACCACACCAGAGCACCCGCCAACCACCCACTGCTATGCACGCACAATTTAACGATAACATACCTTCACTGAAAGCTGTCCCCTTTCTTTCTGCATCTCACCCAGAAGGGCAGAAACCAGAGAAGATTTCCCGGAGCCCACTTGGCCTACAACCGCCACTAGTTTACCTTTTGGTATTTCCAGCGTCAAACTGAAACAAGACATGCCCACAGAGAGAAGACACTTTTTGAGTAAAATGAAGCATATTTTTTAAAAATAGTCATTTTTTTTAGGTTAAGTAATAGTTTTACGCCACTCGCAACATAATAAAGTCTTAAAAGTGCCAAAGATTAGAGGTGTTACAAGAGAGTAACAAACATAAAAAAGAAGGAGGAGAGATCCGTTTTTTTAGTTTTAATAGAGGGTTTTACGGCGCTCGCAACTGCATAAGGTCATATGAGCGCCAAGGGGAGGGTGTCAACAGAGAAGTCTTTACAGGGAATCAGACTTACTCTGCTCGCCTCTCTAGCTTTAACAACACAAAGTCTGCTTCGACTATCAAGGCACCCCGGAAATAACAGGTCACAAGAGTATGACAAACATACAAAAAATGTAGAGGAAAATGACGATAGTAAGGATTAGGAAAGAAAAAGCAGCAGCTCCCTGTTGTAGATCAGGCACAGTTATGAGCAGGACATGATGAATCAGCCCATTTACAATTCTACTGTGCTTGAACGAGAAATATCCCCCCTTTGGGAATGGCCTAAAGACACTACAGTTAGTGGCACTGCCCAGGGGGGGGGGGGGGAGAAGATCAGGACGATAGATGTTTGATAGGAAAGAAGGAGCAAACCACATCAGAGCACCTGCCAACCACCCACATAGTCATTTGGTGCTCGGACAAAAGTAAGACAGACACACAGAAACAACAGAGGGAAAGTAGAGAGGCAGGACCTGTGGTGCCCTCCTACCACTAGCTTAAAAGATGCTTTTTCAAGGAATGGGCGTAGTATTAAAAAGCACTGAAATCTAGTAAGTTAACTGACAGTATAAGAGAGATACTCTCTCTCTCTATGTATGTGCGTGCACCACACACACACACACACACACACACACACACACACACACACACACACACACACACACACACACACACACACACACACACGCATCCCCCACGCACATGCACACACACACGCACACACACAGAGTAAGATGCACACACACATACATTAAGATGTACATACACACACAGACTAAGACACGCACACACACACACACACCCATACAGACTAAGATGCACAGACACACACACACACAAACAAACACACACACACACATACATTCACACACACACAAACACACAGACACATTTACAACAAATTTATTTTACTTCTTCAACGTTGGAGGTAATGTCTTGTCCCATGTAAACGTAGCTCCTCTCATGACCACAGGATGCTCTGTCATAAAAAAATGGAAAGGAAAAAAAAAGGTGTAGTAGTAGTAGTAGTAGTATAGGGTTTTACGGCGCTCGGAACTGCATAAGGTTATATGAGCGCGCGAAACACAAGTTGGTCTTGTTCACAACAGTTCGCTGTACGGCTGGCTTGGGTCAGTAGTTAAATCTTAAAATGTTAAAAAATCAGTGTAAATATATATATATTTTCGATCTAAAACAATTTTTCTAGTTAACATAAAAATTTTAAATAGTATCAATTTCACTTTACAATTTGCCATTTATAAAATTCAAAATTCTGCTGGGAACAACGACGGAAAAAAGGTGTGAGCGGTAAGGGCAAACAATGAAAATGATAGCCATGTCATGAAAGTACGTTGAGGACATTCAGGCAATCACATATGCTATACTAGAAAAGTTTGGTTCAACAGGTGGATAAGCGGACCCAGCAAAGCATTGTGGAGCGCAACATAGAGCACAGTGAAGCACAAAAGACACTGCTGACCATCTACTGCATCCTGACCTTTCCCCAGTCGTCCCGACTATGTCCTGTCACTGGCTACAGATGGGTCAGGACGAGAGAGTGAGGCTGACGACCTGCGTAACTCTCCCTCACTGTAATCCAAGTCAAGCGCAAGTCATGACTTCATTCCTTTTCAAAGTCTCACTAAGGGAACTTGGAACCCTGAACGACTCGAGGGAAACGCTGGCCCTAGATCGTCCCGCTTGGCACTGCAATCTAACGAACGGAGCCAAAGCAGCAAAAGCCAAGTGCATCGCTGAAGCCAAAGAAAAACGCAACGCGCGCAAGTCTAGACCTGCCTCAACAAGTCCAACAGCCGACTACCCATGACCACAACACTGGTGAACCTTCAGAGCTCGGATAGGCTTAATCAGCCATCTCCGAACCCACAGATGATACCAATAACTTCAAATGCCTAAAAATTGGCGAGCACCTGATTCCAGTGTGTGGTAACACAAATGTTACCTTCATCAGCTCCCTCCCTGTCCGTCTCTTCAAGATCCTCTCCACAGAAAAAATCACAAAGACGTTTGCCTGACACGTGTACCTTGAAATACAAAATAAACCAATAGTTTAATTAGTCAATAAAAACATTTAAAATTATTATCAAAGTACAAATGTCCCCAAAACAACAATAAAATAGATTATAGGGGTAATACAAATAGTAGAATCAATCAAACAGCTTAAAGGTTCTATAAAATCTTATTTCTGGAGTGGCTACTTCATCAGATAATCAGCACTTTCTTTTCATCCGACGTGGACTTCTATATTTTAACAAAAATAGTGGTCAGTACGGTGAAATGATGCAAATCTCAAATATATTTTCACAATTGAAAGTTGATCAGGATATATGGAGAATGCACTCTTTTGTCTGCATTGAACACACTACCAGACATTGACATTGGTATTAATTCTCTTTATAGAGAAAGAAAAGAGTTAATAACCTTCTCCTGCATTTTATAGCCTTTAAAAACAGTCAAGACGACTGATATAAACTAAAAATTAAGTACAATATCAAAAATGAAATTGCTGATCAAAAACTGGGCCACCCAACAAAAATACTTGAAAGGCAGCTAACTGACGTCAAAGCACTACTTTCCCTACTTGTATGAATATATGACAAAGTAATACAAACGTTTCGGCATTGGACATGGACATTTTCTGTAATCCTCACCTGGGCAACTTGAGTGACCAGCATTGGCAAGACATTGATGGGAACTCGGATGTAGTTGAAGATGTTCATGGCTACAAAAGCTTTGGCTGGCGTGAGAGCGTTCTCCGGGGAGATGAGGATGTAGGTGAGGAAAGTCAACACTGTCACCTGACAAGAAAGTAAGTCAACACTGTCACCTGACAAGAAAGTAAGTCAACACTATCACCTGACAAGACAGTCAACACTGTCACCTGACAAGAAAGTAAGTCAACACTGTCACCTGACAAGAAAGTAAGTCAACGCTGTCACCTGACAAGAAAGTAAGTCAACACTGTCACCTGACAAGAAAGTAAGTCAACGCTGTCATCTGACAAGAAAGTAAGTCAACACTGTCACCTGACAAGAAAGTAAGTCAACACTGTCACCTGACAAGACAGTCAACACTGTCACCTGACAAGACAGTCAACACTGTCACCTGACAAGAAAGTAAGTCAACACTGTCACCTGACAAGACAGTCAACACTGTCACCTGACAAGAAAGTAAGTCAACACTGTCACCTGACAAGAAAGTCAACACTGTCACCTGACAAGAAAGTCAACACTGTCACCTGACAAGAAAGTAAGTCAACACTGTCACCTGACAAGAAAGTAAGTCAACACTGTCACCTGATAAGAACCAGTTTTAGTTTCAGAAAAGGAGTGTTTTATGTTTTAGTAAGCATTTTATGGCACTTGCAACACAACTTGGTCATATAAGTGCAAAAGATTAGAGGTGTTACGAGAGAGTAACAAACAAAAAAATAAACAAACCCAAAAAAGGAGGAGAGATAAGAATGAGATATGTTGTAGAGGGAAAAAAGAAAAAAAACTCACACCAGAGCAACCGCCAACCACCTACTGAAAGGAATCAAGTTTTTTTAATAAAGAGAAGCACATCTGACGATAAAAGCAATAAATAGATCTTAAACTGTTTGGCAGTGAAGAAGACCTAGATCTAAAAGGGATTCAAATTCCAATTTTTTTTTTGTCACTTGCGTATCAATACTTTTTACTCAACAAAAGACAAGACATACATTCATGATTGCTATATTTTCTGCCTCCATAGGCATTTAAATCCTTTTTTTTGGTAAGTGTTTTACGGCGCTCGAAACTGCTTAAGGTCATATGAGCGTGCAGGACACATTAAACATTTTCAGTTGGTAGGAAATTTTGAATTTTGCCCTGGTGGCAGCCAAGGCCTACTCTTACTGGTTCTGTACTGCCAAGGGATCATAAACGGGCACAACTTGCATACGAGTCTTCAGAGACTTTGCGCCCTTATCGAAGAAGGCTAGATGTAGATTTTTCCTATCATAAGATTAGGGGTGTGGATGAAAGACAGCAGTAAAAAGGAGCCAAGGAGTAGCAGTAGAAAGACTGCGGAAAGAGTCAGGAGCCCAGAGGATGGGGCGAAGGAGGTGAGGGGGCAAACAAACTTACCATAACTGGAGAAATGAACCACGACAATGTGGCGAAAGATATGTACAGGGCTGCCTTCCTCAACTGTACAAGTTCAAGTCCCCGAGTGTTTCGAACTTGCTCATCGAATGAAGGTTCCCATGCATACAGCTTCAGCACCTACAATGCATAAACAAATCCAAAATAATAAGAATTCAAACTGAAACCTCAGATTGAAAATGTATCAAATCCCAAACACTTAGTTTAGATGTTTAAGGAGGTAAACTGCTCCAACCCTGCCTATGAGGGTCAAACAAGACTTAGTGGGATACTGTTGGGATTCAAACCAGAGTCAGTTTCTTAGTTTTAGTAGAGTTTTTACAGCGCTCGCAACTGCATAAGGTCATATGAGCGCCAAGGGGTGGATGTCAAAAGAGAAATCCAAACAGGGAATAAGGCTTACTCTGCTCACCTCTCTAGCTTCAACAGCACAAAGTCTGCTTCGACTATCAAGGCACCCCGGAAATAATGGGTCACAAGAGTGTGACAAACTTACAAAAGAAGTAGAGGAAAAATGACGATAGTAAGGATTAGGAAAGAAAACGCAGCAGTTCCCTGTTGCAGTTCAGGCACAGTTATGAGCATGACATAGATGAATCAGCCCATTTACAATTTTACTGTGCATAAGAACATGTTCCCCCTTTTGGAATGGCTAAAGACAGTTCAGTCAGTAACACTGCCCTGGGGGAAAAACCGGTGTCATCCGTTTCTTTGTCCAGCCAACTGAGCTAAGGGGGCATCTTAACCACATTAGAACTGCTCTACTCTTATAAAGTGAAGAAAAAAAGGTTCATTGTGAATGCATCAGATAGGAAATTAAAGACATCTGAGGAGAAAAGGGCTTAAACAAACAAGTACAAGACTATCAAGGTTACATTTCTGGAGGACGATTTAAATCTAAATACTCAGCAACCAAGTAACCAATGTGTAAACAAAAAACTAGATTAGATTCTCATATTTTTAGATGCAGAACTAGTCAAACTCATTAGGATGTGAACAAAAAGGTAATCATCATCATCACTGCCTTTCTTACCCTGCATCAGGGTATGGGTCATGAACAAATTTTCCATGGTTCCCTATCCAAGGCTAGCTTCTTGATAGTTTTCCACATCTTCCCACTTTTCGGTACATCATTGTCTGTGACTCTTCTCCAGGTTCCATGTGGGAACAAAAAGGTGGTAAAGTAAAGGCAGCAAATTTCACCCTTGGATTGGATTTTCACCAGTCTCATCCCTTTGAGGAAGAAAGGAAAGATTCATGTTTGCCTCTATATCAGTAACAATTACCTTGATGCCATTGAGAACTTCATTTGTGAGTTTAATCCTTTTGTCCTTGATTTTCAGTTGTTCTGCTTGAGCTTTCTTAATCAGAGAGGAAATCTTTGTGATCACTGGTATGAAAAGAACCAGGATAACTATACCTGTGGGTAAGAAAATTGTTTTTAATAATAGAGGATCCAATATTTTAAACTAACTTTTTTTGTCATCAAACCCCCTCCTGTCCCAATTTGAACAAAATCTCCTTTCCAGAGAGAAAGAAGCATAATCTAAGCTCAAGACCTCAAAGAAAATGTGAAAGTTGAATAAACATGTAATGAGGCTCCACTGTGCAAGAAACACAAATTATGTATATCATTTCTCTTTTTAAGACAAAGAAAAAGGGAAAAAAATTGATATCATTCATACTGAGATTAACCTACTGCTAGGCTAGCTCAATGAAATGATTTAAACAAAATAAGATTGGCTTATTACATTCTTTGACAAAGTTAATTATATAAAACAACTGTAAAAAGTAAAAACAACACCTATAAAACAACCGTCAAATGCAAAAACAATACCTATAAAAAACGGTCAAATGTAAAAACAATACCTAGAACATTGCTAACCAAAGGAAACAATTTCCACAGACCTGTAATGAAAGCAAGACCAAGAGCGTCGTGGAGCAAATAGAAACTTATGGACATAGACACGGGGAAGGAAAACACCACCCACGCAGACATCAACAAGTCCTGAAACTTGGCGCAGTCCACAGACATCAGGTTCACGATTGTGCCCACTGTGAATTTCCTCCTGGACTCTGCATTCATTGTCAATGCCTGAGGAACAATATGGACACACATAATCAAAACACAGATGAAATGTCCTTGCACAATAGAATTAAAGAAAGAAAGGTAGCCTACTCAAACCATACATTCAAATAACTCTTTACGTCATAGTTCTATTCACTATTTTGTTGCAGAAAGTTTATTTGAAAATAAATATACGTTAGCATCACTAAAAATACAGGTATCAAATTACAAGCTTGTATTACCCACCAACATGTTCAGAAGTGACGGAAGATTTGATATATGAGGACATAATTAGTAACTTGTGGTGTAGACAAGAAGAAATTTAAGACAAATGAGAAAAACAAAAAGAAACCGCAATAGACATGGCGATTTCTAAGATAAAACATGCTACGCATTGGTATTCTTCACTATCTCACTAAAGAGACATTGCCACATAAGGCAACATTTCCATAACTGTATGGCTGCTGAAACAGTTCATCTCTAAAGGCTCCAGGTGTAGGCAATGTAGGCAGAAAGAGCAATTTTATCTTGTCAGCAGGACTGTAGTGAGTCAAATGTCACCAAAAAGAAACAACACATTTAGACAAAGGCCCCTTGCTGTTTAAGAAGTCTGCTCTATATTTCAAAACTCCCTTACAATTAAAAAACAAATAATGGTTTTCAATATAGTGACAAAAACAGCATAAAACAACACAATACATATCCAACTAGTAATTCCCAAACTATTTCAGACTCATGGCAGTACCTTTTTATAAACTGCAGCCATCAGCATAGTTTTAATTTTAATTCCAATATTCCAGGTTTTGTAGACTTTGTGGTTGATCATCATGGAGTTCAGCAGTGTCACAACCAAGAAGGAGAAGGCAATAATAAAGCCTTGCCACTGTGGGTAATCCTTCTTGTGCTCAACGTACAGGATGATTTCACTGTAAAAATACAACAACAAAAACAAACTTGTTCAATATATAGTCACCAAACCTATTCTTCATTTTCTTGAGTGACTGTTCTATATGCAAGTAATTACTTACCTTTTCTCTAACCATTCCCTAACAAACGATAAACATAGAAATACATTGTTGATTCTATCCTACACACACAAAACAATCATGACAAACAAAAAACAACAACAAAAAATGGAATATAAAATCAAATGAAAGGTAAAACAAAAACGTACGTTTTTAAAGAAGATTACTGACATATTCAAATGTAATGTAAACAACTTCTTTTTTAGATTTAGTAGAAGTTTTACGACGCTCCCAACTGCATAAGGTCATATGAGCGCCAAGGGGTGGATGTCAACAGAGAAGTCCTTACAGGGAATCAGGCTTACTCTGCTCACCTTTCTAGCTTCAACAGCACAAAGTTTGCTTTGACTATCAAGGAAACCCGGAAATAGTGGGTCACAAGAGTGTGATAAACATACAAAAGTAGTAGAGGAAAAATGACAATAGTAAGGATTAGGAAAGAAAAAGCAGCAGTTCCCTGTTGTACATCAGGCACAGTTATGAGCATGACAATGATGAATCAGCCCATTTACAATTCTATTGTGCACGAACGAGAAACGTCCCCCCTTTGGGAATGGCCTAAAGACACTTCAGTCAGTGGCACCGCCCTGGGGGGGGGGGTTGTAAACAACATCAACATCAAATAAAATTGATTAAGAACTATACACCATCACAGGCAAAAACTAAACACAAAGACTAAACATTCAATTCCAAGACCAAAAACGAAAAGAATCGCAACAGGATACAAAACTTAAGTGAGCACCGACAATATGTATCCAACTCCTTCTCCACTCCACCTCAAGCCCTTATGAAAGTAAAAGTGTTATAAACTTACTTCAGGAGTAGAGTGTTCACGAAGACAAGGCAGTCTGCCATTATTCCAATGAACTGGACCTTTAAATAAGGAAGCCAGAAGATCTTCAACAAAACTTTGTACAGTGACGCCTTTTTGGGTTTTCTCCTTGCTTGCTGTACAAAGCCAACAGAGGCAGACAACAGCGGCGTCTGCTCATCATCATCAACTTCAGCAGAGCTTCCTTCCCTTAAGTCTGCATTAAGACACCCATTTGGTCTGGGATCCAAATGCCTGAAAACACAAAAATAAAATTGTATCATGACGTGGTTGAATCGGACGCTCAACAATTGGCATTTGGAGGTCATTTGTATCATATTCCAGCTTATTCATTTGTTTTACTTTTGATAAAAAGTTTACTTATCTATCTTGAATAAAAGTTGAGATATTTGCGACACAATTTAGATCCTTTAGAAGGCAAGCCTTTTTCCATCATGTCAGTCAGGGTCAGCCGAGCTTACCGAGCTTAGTGGGATTCAGCATACTTGCAGACGAACAGAGATACTCACATTGGGAGTGAACTGACATCTTTTGAGAGCAATGGCACACAGATTAACCACTACACCACAGATGCTGGTACAGTAAGCCAGGAAACATCTTTTTTTTAAAAGCGTTTTATGGCGCTCACAACTGCATCAGGTCATATGAGCCCGCAGGACACATTAAATATTTTCAGTTGGTAGGAAATTTTGAATTTTGATTGCGTGGCAGCCGAAGCCTACTCTTATCAATTTTGGGCCAACAACAGATCTTTAATGTGCGCAACTTGCACATGTGACCTCTGAGATTTTTCGCCCTTATCTGATAAGGCTAGGTGTTAGATCTTACCTACCCTAAGATCAGGGGTGTGGATGAAAGACAGCAGTAAGAAGAAGAAAACGAGTAACAGTAAAAATGCTGCACAAAGAGTCACGAGCCCACAGGAGGTGGAAAAGGAGGTCAGGGGGTCGATACAGAAAGTGGAGACGAAAGCAGACGACAGAACACTGTTAGAGAGCAGGCAGGAAAGAATGTGAAAGGAGAATATTTTAGAGAGGAGAAAATTTTTCTGTTGCTATCAGATTTGAACCCGGGACCTATTTTAACCACTTGACCACGAGAGCTGGAAACATCTATGTCTGGTAAAAAAGCAATACGACTTCAGCAGTACAGCTGTATTAATTCAAATATAGTCAAACATGCTTTAATGACCACTTGTCCAAGACAATCACCTGCAACAATCACTTCCAACTTCCAACCTTGTGTATATTCTTTTCTATAATGACAACATTATCCAAGACATCCACCAGTCCAAGACAACCAATTTTTCCTCAACACTGGGTCAAAACTTGGCTGCGAAACATCGGACTAATACTAAAAGGACAATATAATACACACACACAACAAAAAACCCAAACAAACCAAAAAGCAAACAATTCAGCCATTATACAGTTGCAACTGGGATAAAAACGCATTTCAACTCAAGCATGTTTATGTCTGAATTGAGTTCAACAAAACAAATGGGTGGCCTTCTCAGACAATTTTCACTATATCTACGTTCATTACCTGTTTTTTAGCTGGGTGTGAACAAGCTCTTTCTTCCACGTACTCAAGAACTGCGGCACTATGTTAGTGCTGTGCATGTAATGAGGCATGTCTACAACATCTCTCAACTCCAAGGGTTTCTTGTAGCCTTTGTAGATTTCCCTGTCACAAAGACATAAAACAATTAAAGTTAAAGGTTATTTTTCTGGCAGTTTTTTTTTTTTAACATACATTGACTTTGTGAAGGGGATGCAGACTAAATTAAGTGAGTGAGTGAGTGAGTGAGCATGTGTGTGTGTGTGTGTGTG